TTACAACTCGTTTGTAACATGTTTTGCGGCAGTATAATAAATCTGAGGTGCGATATATATATATATATATATATGTAATAATAACTTGATTTTAGATAATATGCAGCAGAAAACACCAAGAAGATGAAAATCTAAAACGTGAGATAAGTATGCTGCTAGAAGATCAATTCTATGTACCTGTGTTAAGAACAGAAGGCAATGCATGTCCACCTATCATTGGAGAACCATTCTCACCAACTAAACCACTTGTAAGTGTTAACTTGTATCATTATTAAGATCTGAAAGAATTACATATTGTTAGTTTTCTCAAAAAATTGAAGAAAACTTTTTATACCATTTTTTATATTATTATAACATTTAATTTCATCATGTATGTGTTATATCTTGATGTGATTAGTGTTATACATGGTACATTTTTATTATTTTCAGAGTTTGAATAGAGATCCTATTAGCCCACATGTAGAAGTAAAGGCGTTTGCAGGTCCAATGACTAAGTCGCAGGCAGTGGAATTCCGGAAAAAATGGAAAACACCACCACGCGTTACCCCTAAAAAGGGACAGGGTGACGCGTTCAGTATTGGAAACAGTCCTAGCTTAGCTCTGAGGCTGCAAGATACAGAAAAAGGATTAGAACGTGTTGGAAGGTATGAATATATAAATTAAATTCAAAAATTGTTAATTGTTATTATTGTTTTTGATGTTGATATTACTTGTGTAATATATATCTGTGAGAAATATCTTCTGAAAAACTCCACATGAATTATGTTTAGAATTAATAATTATTTTAATAATTTTGATATAATTTGTGTCTCATTTAATGATATTCTCCCTTCCATACAATCAAATACAGAGTCCGAGTATCTTTCTCTCTATAAATCTTATTTATTATAATGAATAAATTGTTTCATTTATAATTTTTCTAATATTTTTATATATCTAATATATATATATTTTTAGAGATCTTGCTGAGGAATGTCAAGTGCCTTGGAAGGAATACTGGTCGTTCTTAAAAGGTTTCGCCGATTTCCGGAGTGATGAAGGATTGGTGAAACTCGAAAAGTATTTGGAGCAAAGATTTAATCTACTTTACTCTAGGGTATAAAGACGCATCAAGTAGCTTTTGCTTGTAATGTTTATACAATCAATTTTTTTAACATTTGTTTTTTCAGAAAAATCAGACTAGTAATGCGGTGTGGCATACAAATGTGTCAGCAAACTGTCAACAAATACCACAAATATTTGTTAATGAAGTAGAAAGTTTATGTGATAAATTGCGCTTGTGCTCATTAGATACTGAAGTAGATGAAATCGAAGATGACACAGGTATTTATTTCATATTTTTTATGATATAATCTATTATATATATTATACAATATTTCTTTATTAACAATGATTTTATTATAATAAATATTAATATTAACCATTTAATTTCCATTTCATAGATAGCTCAGAATTTTTCACACCTCCGTCTTCGCCAGAACCTACCGAGGATGATTCCGATGATGATATGGAGAATGCTGAAGAAGGTCCTATAATATTTATCGAAGGGTAAACAACTATTTTTCATATTATAATACAAGGATATATATGATTTAAACAACATTTTGCATAATCAATATTTTGTAGGTCTTCACCAACAAAATTAGACCATGCTGTCTATAACGCACTTTCGTCCACGATTTATCCTGATACGTATCCTTATATTTATCGTTGGCGGCACGATATGCAGCTAGTTATGAAACGTGATCCATATAGGTATATTAGACATCTTCAAATTTTAATATATGTATTCTTTTAATTTTATTAATAATGATAAAATAGCGTGCATTTTATGTTAATTTTTAATTTTTTTCTACTTGTAGATTTAATGATATGAAATTACTCAGGAAAAAATTGTTTGCAAATAATTAAACAAAAAAGGAAATACATCGACAATCTGGATTGCTGAACTTTGGATTAGCATTGGCTTCTTCCTAATTACAATCCTGTATAACATAAAAAAAGAAAATTAGTTCACCTAGAGTAAGAGCTAATTAATGTAATTGACCATAGAAAGTTTTAACTATATTAAGGACGCTCATGAAACTGTATAAACCTTTTTTTATATAATGTTGTTGCATAAACAAACTCTATATTGTAGATAAAAGTTAAGAGAAAAAGGATATATATTTTGAGATGTTTTTACAAAAGACTTGTAACTTAGAAACTTTCACGATGAAATGTTTAAAACTCTTATCATATACTTCTTTCTAATGTTCATCGTTTTCTTCGCAGTTACAATAAATACTGATTATTGACAAATACGTTTACTGATTTCCATGTGAGTTTTCCTTTGTTGTATCTTATGTTGGAAATACATATGTTGCTCATGTTTTTCATCATTACTGATGTATTTGTTATCAATAATTCTTTATTATACATAATATAATATTACACATTATATATTTTTTTAACAGAACATTAATGAGTTTTTTTTTTTTTTAGATAATATCACACCGTAATCACACGATGCATGTATTATTATTTCATTTTTTTAATCATATTTCTTTTTATTATTTATTATAATTCATATCTTTAATGTCTAATAGCTCCTTCAATTTAATTAAGCGTTAATAGGTGTGGGCGGTGTCTGCTTTAATTGCAAGATAATCGAGCGCATCCGAGAGACGTCCTTGGAAGTGCGGGACGATTTTGGATTAAATTCACAAAGTTTGGCGATGCGTTCCCATTCGGTGCCCGGTTCAACCTCATCCGCCTCTGCAACGAATTGCTTCTCCGCGTTCCTATTCATGAAAGAACGCGCATCAGATCAATGCCAAATTACATATCACGTCAGTTAGTAATATAATGAAACGAAAAATTAAGTGATATGTATATTTTATTCGTACATCTCGGTTTATTTTGAAAAAAAAAAAGAAAAAATATATAAATTTATATATTTATAAATAATATAATTAAATAATGTGACAAATATGTAACGTGTATATGGATATTGGACTCAAGCTACAGTTCTTTTATAACATTCATGATGTTTAATTGATTCAACAATTTATTTCTTTTTTTCTTGCTCAGTTCATATGAAATATAGTTCTTGGTGTGATTGTGAGATGATTGACAAACATTCAAGGATTAACGAATACATTTAGATATATATTGGTCAATATATGCACATTTCAAATATTGTAAAGCAAAGATAATCTTGAGAATAATTTCATCAAATAATGTTGTTTATAGTGCAATCTTATAATATATAACAATGTATTAAGAAGCGATGTTGCGATAATTAAGAAAGAAAAAGAGAGATAATTGTGCTTTTATGTTCCTGATTAACATTCTGAACAATCAGTGTCGGAGTTCTCAAAGTTGTGAAAGCAAATTGTTACAATGCATAAATCATGATGCAATGCATGTTTTCATGCGGATAAAGATATTTTAACTTACTTGGCCGACTCCCTAAGAAGCGAAATGAAAATAATATAATTATATATATATTCTAAATATTTAAAAGTTATTTATAACATATTGAATTAATCATTGATATTAATTGCATTAATTATAACATAAGAATACTTATTACCTTTTTTTTTTAATAAAACCACATTTAAAAAATTTTTCTGTTATTTTTTAATGTAAATATCCTATTATAAGTAAAACTTTCCTGCTATATAATTATATAGTTTGTGATGGGCGCTAATAGATACCAATAAATAACAACCACATTTGATTTCAGTTTTAGTTTGTCAATTTTTCGCGAAATAGACATATATACCAGGAAATAAAAGATGAAAAAATAAAAGATTAGTAAAATTACCTGTTAGTAGTTTTCGTCTTATTAATGGCTTCTGCATGATGTTTATACCATTCTTCTAACTCTTTTTTCGCGGCTTCTCTCCATTCTTCCTTTTTCTCCTCCTCTTCCGCGTCTAAAAAATTTCCATCCAATGTTACTCGTATTATCCTCACAAAATAATCATAACATAAGTATTTTAATATTTAATATTTTTATTTTAATACCTTTCTCCTCAAGACGTGCTTTTTGTTCTTCCCTCCATTTTTTGATCTTTTCAGGTTCTTCTTTGACCGGTGCGATTACAGGTGCTGGTTCTGTATATATAAGAATCCAACTAAAATGCTCTTTAAGATGCAATTAAAACAAGATTTAAAAATATTTTTATACCTGTCACTGTTGATGGTGCTTGTGCCTCTGTTGACTGACTGATGGTATCTACAATTTCAAAACTGCCTTCAGCATCGCCACCTGGGCCAACTTTTAGATTTCCAAATTTCCCAGACAAATCATCTACAAGACATTATTTATGCTTATGGTGTTTGCATATAAATAAATAAATTATATATTTTGACATATAATGGGTGCTTTCCATTTAGTGACTCAAGTCGACACAAGTATCATAAATTTTATACATATATTTCCTATTGTATGCAAATGGACAAGAAAAATTGCGTGCTTAGCATTCTTTATATATCAAGTCCTATTTACCATCGGTTTGTCCTGCTGCTGCTGCTGCAGCCAAAGTCACAGCCATTGGTGTAATCTCATCCTCTAAACCAGCTAGTTGATCCTGCTCCCTCGCCAAAAACTCTGCCGCTGGATCTACTTCCGGCTCATTAACAAAATTGTCGCCAAACGCGTCCATTATCTGATACAAATCGGGTAAAATTGGTTATTTAAATAAAAATTTGGAGATATTTTTATCAATAGATTAAAGATATCTCCTAGCAGTAATTCTGTAGTATTATATATTATTTCTTTTTTTTTTCATAAATTATATACATTTTGTATCGCAAATTAATGTTTTTGTTCTACACGACAGATTGTTTCAGATAATAGTCGTTAAAGCTATAAGATGTATATTTAATACAAACTACATTTTAAAAATTTCCCTAAATAGTTAGGACGTTAAAATTTATAATAATAAATAAAATAGATAATATAAATATGATACAATATATGGAGATATGAAATATATATCATATATCTCTCTCGAAAGAAGTCAAACGTCATTGACATTTGAGGTTAACCGAACCTTGCGTTAATCTTTAACCAAGTTCAATATACCGTTTTTTCGTCCGAAAAAGCGTGTTCTACTTGCAGGGCACTCATTCTCACCTCGTAAAAGTACAATTCTCGTCCGGAAAAAACTACGGAATGTATATATGACTTGTCGTTATCTAAGTGAAGGGAATGAAACACCTCTTTCCTCCGATTTACTTCAGCTTTTCTCTCTCTCTCTCTCTCTGGTAAATGTCAATCGTAAATCATATATAAGTCGATATCGGTATTGATACGCGTGTGACGCACGCACACCGCACATGTATATGTGTTATGTGACACATATTATGGCCGTGTTCCGATATTCACTGCCAGTACTGAAAATCTATAGTTTACGTCACATATACTATAGATTTTCAGTACTGGAAGTGAATATCGGAACACGGCCTATATGAAGAGGTCGCTACGACGGCGCGGCCAACTTCATGGTAGACTGAAGAATAAATAAATATTTATAAATTAGAATATATCTCATATAATTACAATGGGAAAAGATATATATTCATTAAAGAAGATGATAAATGATAACATGAAACTGTGTGAAGGGAAAAGACAATGCAAATAAAAATAAATTGGTCTTTTTCAGCGAAATATTTGTATATGGCGCCAATATTCTTAGCTAATGAATCTCGAATTAGGTCACGTTCTATGCTGTCGATTTCGCATCTAGGTTAATCATAGTCAAAGATATAGATCACACACCCCGCAGCCCAGCGGACCGTGTCTAGGCGCGCAACGGGGGGCCGGCGACCGGCATTTATGTTTGCATAGCACAGCTGATCGAGCTTTTCATCCGTTAATTTTGACAACCCGCTTATCAGAATGAATCTATCGTTAAACACGTGGCAACTCATCGCGATCTTACCCCCACCAATCGCCATTTTAAATGGCTCAATGTTAGATAGCAACCGCGGCATTGACACGCATAATTGATAATTATCGATAATGCCGTGCGTACACAGATAAGGCCCTTATTTATAAAATTACGTTAGCTCACGATTATTACTCGCCACACGAATATGCTGCGACGCGATATGGGGGTCCTCAAGCAATTCTGTAACTGCAGAATCCTGCGCGACAGCAGAATTCAGACGGAGGATCTATGGGTGCGTGATGGAAGGATTGTGAATCCGGAGAGGATCTTCTACGACGAGAAGATCAAGCCAGATGTTAGGATAGACTGCGGTGGTGCCCTGATTTCACCGGGATACATAGATGTGCAGATCAACGGTATTTAATTTTCTTAAATATACTATTTCTTCTTGTTGCTAAATAAAAAATCAGTAAATATATCACGTATAAATTGGATCTTTAAATGCAAAATTTAATCTACAAAATGTAGATTGCGAGTCACGGAAACAGAAAAAAAATTGTGGATAAAAGAAAATTAATTCTATCATGCTACAAAAGTGGAAAATTTGTCTCCTCTCTCTAATTATTTTAAAATTAACAATTAAAATTAATGCAATAAATTCTCTAGCATCTAATTAGAATTGTGTGCTTAATAAATAAATAGATAAATTAATATTTGTATTAGGAGGATTTGGCATAGACTTCTCATTCAATGTTGACAATGTGAAAGAGGGTATTGATAAAGTAGCAAAGGGATTGCTAGCACATGGAGTAACATCTTTTTGTCCTACTCTGGTAACATCTCCTAGTGAAGTATATCACAAAGTATTACCAAGAATAAAAAAACGAAATGGTAGTAGCCATGGTGCTTCTGTATTGGGTGTTCACATAGAAGGGCCATTTATTAGCCCAAATAAGAAAGGCGCTCATCCAGAGCCTTATATTAAAAAACTTGATCAGGTAATAGAGAGATACAATTAAATCTGTTCTGATTTATATCTGTTCAGAATACATCTGTAAAATATTATTCAATATGTTAATTCATATATTTTTTAATAACTATATTGCATTTTAGGGATTTAAATCAGTTATTGATATGTATGGAGATCTAGACAATGTATGCTTGTTCACGTTAGCACCTGAAATTCCAAATGCTATACTTGTTATTGAGGAGTTATGTAGAAGAAATATCAAAGTGTCTCTTGGTAAGACAAAGCTCTAATATCTCAGCAATAAAGTATTTATTTATCAATGCCATATTTAAATATATAATGTATCTTACAGAGATATATTTTCAATATAAAAGTTATAAAAAACTACGAAAGTTAAGAGACTTTTGTAAAATTTCCTTTTAGCACAGTTTATATGTCACATATTTTAGGACATTCCATAGCAAATTTAAACGAGGGAGAAGAGGCAGTTAAACATGGAGCGTCATTTATTACTCATTTGTTCAATGCTATGTTACCTGTAAGCTATAAAATATAAAGTTCTATATAATTGACTTATATTTTAGAAGTATCTCATATAGAAGTTTTTACATTTTATCCAGTTTCATCATAGAGATCCAGGATTAGTTGGTCTCCTAACATCCGATCAAATTCCATCCGAAAGAATTGTTCATTTTGGCATAATCTCCGATGGGATTCACACTCATCCAGCGGCGTTACGGATCGCTCATAGAACGCATCCCGAAGGTTCATACTTGATCATTATATGTCTAGGCACATTTGCCTCACAATACAATGACAATTTTTGTGAGATTAAAATTGAACGGTTTTTAAGGTCTCGTACTTGTAACAGACGCGATATCAGCGTTAGGTTTGGAGGAGGGAATCCATCAGCTGGGACAATTCAAGATAGAGATACGTAAAGGATGCGCCTATATCGCTGGAACGGACACTCTGTGTGGTAGCATAGCCGAGATGTCCAAGTGTGTGAGACACTTTAAAGACGCTACAGGTAAATTAAAAACATTATAATAATCAAATAATAATAATAAAACAAATATAATTAATTATGCAATGTGTGTGCACAATACTTGATAATATAATTGCTTTGTGTAGGTTGCACAATAGTCGAAGCCTTGGAAGCGGCGACTTTGCATCCTGCGAGAAGCCTTGGTATCGATTCCTACAAAGGTATTCTTAATTTTGGAGCCGATGCCGATTTTATATTACTAGACGAGAAGTTGGAGCTCCTATCGACGTGGATTTCAGGAGAATGCGTTTATGAAAAGATTCCTGGCAGTACAAAACAACTGGAAGCTAAACGTAAGTAGATATCCCGGTACAAATAAAAAATCAGTTGTATAAAACAACTGGATATTCTATAATTCGGCCAGTGTACATAAATCGACAGTGACAGGCCTACAATAATAATTAAAGTTATAATTAAAAAGCCTTAAACTTACTTCAGATAATAACTTTTGTATGTTACACTGAGATTTTACTACATTTATATTGATAGTTTTGCGCTTGAAAAGAGATTATTTATAGAAAAAAAAGATAAAATACTATGTACTATATAAAATTTGAAGATTTAATTTCTTTTATTTTTCCGGGTATTGCATCATGTGAAATTTACATTTATAAAGACACTATATGATGACTGTATAAGAGTGAACGTATTTTGCTAAATGAAGGATATTAGAAAAGTTATAGTATTTTCATGTACTCTTTTCTACTAAGATGTAAATATGTAACAATAAATGTATTGTTTTTTATTTTATAAACTTATACAGAGCTTCTCTATGCTCTTTCCCATTTGCATTCTTGGCAAGATTTTCTTTAACTATATCGGTTTTTGCTTTACTTATTATGTGCTGTAAAGCATAGAGATGTCAAATAACATAGTTTTAATAGTTTAATGCTACAAAAATATTTTTACAGAACTGTTTTTAAAGAACGATTAGGAATTGCCGCGCTACATTAAATTAATCTTAAAGTCTCATTATGTATACTTACAAGTTTTATATTAATGTATATAAGGCTTTTTTTATACGAGTCGAAATGCAATGAATTAAATGCTACTTAAAAGGAAGAAAAATATTAGATTTTCGGAACAATATTGAAATTTTCACATTATATATATACACACACGTTGCATTGCATTTAATATTTGCTTACAGTAATTTTAATTTTATGTTTAAACTGTTTTGTGTTGTATAGTATAGTAGATTTTTTTTAAACAAAATAAACTTTGATTTTACCTATTCTTCGCTGATACCTTTTATATATGAAATTAGTAATGGTTAATAAAATAATCAAATAGAAAAATAAAGAAGAAAAGAACATGGTCTGACTAAATAATGTAAGACAATTAAAAAAAGCAAGAGAGCATGTCTTAGTCGGTAAATCATTATGTGCGTATGTAGTTGTCACTAATTGATGAAATTAATAAACTGCATCCTTCATATTACAAATATATGTGGAGTGCTTGATGCCAAATGTATGCGCAGGGGGGATGTCGAGAAGCACCTAGAATACAATGATTATGTTAATTAATTATATTAATCATCAATACATTACACATATAACATTTTATCATTATGTTTATGTATCTTTTGACACATAAACGTAACTTGTTTGCTATGAAATATATAATTTATATATTTTTATATGTTTTATATATTTGCTACGTTTTTTACATATATTGTATTTGATATATATGTATAACATACATTTATAATTAATACATCTTATATAAAATTATATATATATTTTTATTATATATAAATATATATTAATAATATTTATAAGTAATGTGCGTTTTATCTACGGCGATACCTTTTCCGGACAATGCGCTCCGGGTCCTGGGATCTGCAAATGATCATCGGGCAACGGGAAACGGGCGCTTATGCTGTACGCCGGACTTTTCGGTCTGATTGCATCCGGTCTGATGGTCTCGTATGCACCTGGCCCGGGCACGAGAACGCGATCGTCCGTAAAAACCTTTTGCCTACCAGATATCGAGTAAGCGGGCGCCGCTTTCTTGTTACCCTCCTTGGTTGTACCGAGGGCGGAGGGGATGTTATATATATTAGGCGCTGAAATGTTCAATCGCGGATCTATTTCTTCAGAAATTCGGTGCTCGCGCGAATAATTACATTATTTCTCATAAACCATTTCATTCACCATTTACGTCGTATTTTTTTTGATACGTCTAACATGTTTTATGATATCTTTCCGTAAAATTGTCCGATAAGGAATTGCATCCCATCAAATAGATGTGATATACGTGGAACCAAGAGGCGATAAAAAAAGATCAAATTATAGCCAATTATTGCGATAGACTAATTCAGTGCGTGACATGTCAATATATATGCGAATATAAAATTGCTACGATGTGACATGCTTCGATATAACATGCATCATCGGCGTTTACCCTGCATCCTTGGGGCTGAAATTGATACATCGGACTGATTATTTACCTGGAACGTCGTCAGGCCTGCTCATGGGCGGTCTGAGGCCAAAAGTAAATCGCAATGCTTTCTCCAACAAAAGCATTGCTTTTTCCGGATTGTATTCGCCGGGACCTGGAATGTTTTACGATTGAAAGATAAATTAAAAATTGTAAATTAGATTGTATGTGAGCGAAAATCAATGATAGATTATTGATAAAAATAAGATATAGAATATTGATTACTATAAAATTGAATAATACAACATTGAATAAAATACTTGATAGAATACTTGTAATAATTATAATATTTGCTTATATATAAGCAAATATTATAATTATTACAAGTATTCTATCAAGTATTTTATTCAATGTTGTATTATTCAATTTTATAGTAATCAATATTCTATATCTTATTTTTATCAATAATCTATCATTGATTTTCGCTCACATACAATCTAATTTACAATTTTTAATTTATCTTTCAATCGTAAAACATTCCAGGTCCCGGCGAATACAATCCGGAAAAAGCAATGCTTTTGTTGGAGAAAGCATTGCGATTTACTTTTGGCCTCAGACCGCCCATGAGCAGGCCTGACGACGTTCCAGGTAAATAATCAGTCCGATGTATCAATTTCAGCCCCAAGGATGCAGGGTAAACGCCGATGATGCATGTTATATCGAAGCATGTCACATCGTAGCAATTTTATATTCGCATATATATTGACATGTCACGCACTGAATTAGTCTATCGCAATAATTGGCTATAATTTGATCTTTTTTTATCGCCTCTTGGTTCCACGTATATCACATCTATTTGATGGGATGCAATTCCTTATCGGACAATTTTACGGAAAGATATCATAAAACATGTTAGACGTATCAAAAAAAATACGACGTAAATGGTGAATGAAATGGTTTATGAGAAATAATGTAATTATTCGCGCGAGCACCGAATTTCTGAAGAAATAGATCCGCGATTGAACATTTCAGCGCCTAATATATATAACATCCCCTCCGCCCTCGGTACAACCAAGGAGGGTAACAAGAAAGCGGCGCCCGCTTACTCGATATCTGGTAGGCAAAAGGTTTTTACGGACGATCGCGTTCTCGTGCCCGGGCCAGGTGCATACGAGACCATCAGACCGGATGCAATCAGACCGAAAAGTCCGGCGTACAGCATAAGCGCCCGTTTCCCGTTGCCCGATGATCATTTGCAGATCCCAGGACCCGGAGCGCATTGTCCGGAAAAGGTATCGCCGTAGATAAAACGCACATTACTTATAAATATTATTAATATATATTTATATATAATAAAAATATATATATAATTTTATATAAGATGTATTAATTATAAATGTATGTTATACATATATATCAAATACAATATATGTAAAAAACGTAGCAAATATATAAAACATATAAAAATATATAAATTATATATTTCATAGCAAACAAGTTACGTTTATGTGTCAAAAGATACATAAACATAATGATAAAATGTTATATGTGTAATGTATTGATGATTAATATAATTAATTAACATAATCATTGTATTCTAGGTGCTTCTCGACATCCCCCCTGCGCATACATTTGGCATCAAGCACTCCACATATATTTGTAATATGAAGGATGCAGTTTATTAATTTCATCAATTAGTGACAACTACATACGCACATAATGATTTACTGACTAAGACATGCTCTCTTGCTTTTTTTAATTGTCTTACATTATTTAGTCAGACCATGTTCTTTTCTTCTTTATTTTTCTATTTGATTATTTTATTAACCATTACTAATTTCATATATAAAAGGTATCAGCGAAGAATAGGTAAAATCAAAGTTTATTTTGTTTAAAAAAAATCTACTATACTATACAACACAAAACAGTTTAAACATAAAATTAAAATTACTGTAAGCAAATATTAAATGCAATGCAACGTGTGTGTATATATATAATGTGAAAATTTCAATATTGTTCCGAAAATCTAATATTTTTCTTCCTTTTAAGTAGCATTTAATTCATTGCATTTCGACTCGTATAAAAAAAGCCTTATATACATTAATATAAAACTTGTAAGTATACATAATGAGACTTTAAGATTAATTTAATGTAGCGCGGCAATTCCTAATCGTTCTTTAAAAACAGTTCTGTAAAAATATTTTTGTAGCATTAAACTATTAAAACTATGTTATTTGACATCTCTATGCTTTACAGCACATAATAAGTAAAGCAAAAACCGATATAGTTAAAGAAAATCTTGCCAAGAATGCAAATGGGAAAGAGCATAGAGAAGCTCTGTATAAGTTTATAAAATAAAAAACAATACATTTATTGTTACATATTTACATCTTAGTAGAAAAGAGTACATGAAAATACTATAACTTTTCTAATATCCTTCATTTAGCAAAATACGTTCACTCTTATACAGTCATCATATAGTGTCTTTATAAATGTAAATTTCACATGATGCAATACCCGGAAAAATAAAAGAAATTAAATCTTCAAATTTTATATAGTACATAGTATTTTATCTTTTTTTTCTATAAATAATCTCTTTTCAAGCGCAAAACTATCAATATAAATGTAGTAAAATCTCAGTGTAACATACAAAAGTTATTATCTGAAGTAAGTTTAAGGCTTTTTAATTATAACTTTAATTATTATTGTAGGCCTGTCACTGTCGATTTATGTACACTGGCCGAATTATAGAATATCCAGTTGTTTTATACAACTGATTTTTTATTTGTACCGGGATATCTACTTACGTTTAGCTTCCAGTTGTTTTGTACTGCCAGGAATCTTTTCATAAACGCATTCTCCTGAAATCCACGTCGATAGGAGCTCCAACTTCTCGTCTAGTAATATAAAATCGGCATCGGCTCCAAAATTAAGAATACCTTTGTAGGAATCGATACCAAGGCTTCTCGCAGGATGCAAAGTCGCCGCTTCCAAGGCTTCGACTATTGTGCAACCTACACAAAGCAATTATATTATCAAGTATTGTGCACACACATTGCATAATTAATTATATTTGTTTTATTATTATTATTTGATTATTATAATGTTTTTAATTTACCTGTAGCGTCTTTAAAGTGTCTCACACACTTGGACATCTCGGCTATGCTACCACACAGAGTGTCCGTTCCAGCGATATAGGCGCATCCTTTACGTATCTCTATCTTGAATTGTCCCAGCTGATGGATTCCCTCCTCCAAACCTAACGCTGATATCGCGTCTGTTACAAGTACGAGACCTTAAAAACCGTTCCTACAAAGGTATTCTTAATTTTGGAGCCGATGCCGATTTTATATTACTAGACGAGAAGTTGGAGCTCCTATCGACGTGGATTTCAGGAGAATGCGTTTATGAAAAGATTCCTGGCAGTACAAAACAACTGGAAGCTAAACGTAAGTAGATATCCCGGTACAAATAAAAAATCAGTTGTATAAAACAACTGGATATTCTATAATTCGGCCAGTGTACATAAATCGACAGTGACAGGCCTACAATAATAATTAAAGTTATAATTAAAAAGCCTTAAACTTACTTCAGATAATAACTTTTGTATGTTACACTGAGATTTTACTACATTTATATTGATAGTTTTGCGCTTGAAAAGAGATTATTTATAGAAAAAAAAGATAAAATACTATGTACTATATAAAATTTGAAGATTTAATTTCTTTTATTTTTCCGGGTATTGCATCATGTGAAATTTACATTTATAAAGACACTATATGATGACTGTATAAGAGTGAACGTATTTTGCTAAATGAAGGATATTAGAAAAGTTATAGTATTTTCATGTACTCTTTTCTACTAAGATGTAAATATGTAACAATAAATGTATTGTTTTTTATTTTATAAACTTATACAGAGCTTCTCTATGCTCTTTCCCATTTGCATTCTTGGCAAGATTTTCTTTAACTATATCGGTTTTTGCTTTACTTATTATGTGCTGTAAAGCATAGAGATGTCAAATAACATAGTTTTAATAGTTTAATGCTACAAAAATATTTTTACAGAACTGTTTTTAAAGAACGATTAGGAATTGCCGCGCTACATTAAATTAATCTTAAAGTCTCATTATGTATACTTACAAGTTTTATATTAATGTATATAAGGCTTTTTTTATACGAGTCGAAATGCAATGAATTAAATGCTACTTAAAAGGAAGAAAAATATTAGATTTTCGGAACAATATTGAAATTTTCACATTATATATATACACACACGTTGCATTGCATTTAATATTTGCTTACAGTAATTTTAATTTTATGTTTAAACTGTTTTGTGTTGTATAGTATAGTAGATTTTTTTTAAACAAAATAAACTTTGATTTTACCTATTCTTCGCTGATACCTTTTATATATGAAATTAGTAATGGTTAATAAAATAATCAAATAGAAAAATAAAGAAGAAAAGAACATGGTCTGACTAAATAATGTAAGACAATTAAAAAAAGCAAGAGAGCATGTCTTAGTCAGTAAATCATTATGTGCGTATGTAGTTGTCACTAATTGATGAAATTAATAAACTGCATCCTTCATATTACAAATATATGTGGAGTGCTTGATGCCAAATGTATGCGCAGGGGGGATGTCGAGAAGCACCTAGAATACAATGATTATGTTAATTAATTATATTAATCATCAATACATTACACATATAACATTTTATCATTATGTTTATGTATCTTTTGACACATAAACGTAACTTGTTTGCTATGAAATATATAATTTATATATTTTTATATGTTTTATATATTTGCTACGTTTTTTACATATATTGTATTTGATATATATGTATAACATACATTTATAATTAATACATCTTATATAAAATTATATATATATTTTTATTATATATAAATATATATTAATAATATTTATAAGTAATGTGCGTTTTATCTACGGCGATACCTTTTCCGGACAATGCGCTCCGGGTCCTGGGATCTGCAAATGATCATCGGGCAACGGGAAACGGGCGCTTATGCTGTACGCCGGACTTTTCGGTCTGATTGCATCCGGTCTGATGGTCTCGTATGCACCTGGCCCGGGCACGAGAACGCGATCGTCCGTAAAAACCTTTTGCCTACCAGATATCGAGTAAGCGGGCGCCGCTTTCTTGTTACCCTCCTTGGTTGTACCGAGGGCGGAGGGGATGTTATATATATTAGGCGCTGAAATGTTCAATCGCGGATCTATTTCTTCAGAAATTCGGTGCTCGCGCGAATAATTACATTATTTCTCATAAACCATTTCATTCACCATTTACGTCGTATTTTTTTTGATACGTCTAACATGTTTTATGATATCTTTCCGTAAAATTGTCCGATAAGGAATTGCATCCCATCAAATAGATGTGATATACGTGGAACCAAGAGGCGATAAAAAAAGATCAAATTATAGCCAATTATTGCGATAGACTAATTCAGTGCGTGACATGTCAATATATATGCGAATATAAAATTGCTACGATGTGACATGCTTCGATATAACATGCATCATCGGCGTTTACCCTGCATCCTTGGGGCTGAAATTGATACATCGGACTGATTATTTACCTGGAACGTCGTCAGGCCTGCTCATGGGCGGTCTGAGGCCAAAAGTAAATCGCAATGCTTTCTCCAACAAAAGCATTGCTTTTTCCGGATTGTATTCGCCGGGACCTGGAATGTTTTACGATTGAAAGATAAATTAAAAATTGTAAATTAGATTGTATGTGAGCGAAAATCAATGATAGATTATTGATAAAAATAAGATATAGAATATTGATTACTATAAAATTGAATAATACAACATTGAATAAAATACTTGATAGAATACTTGTAATAATTATAATATTTGCTTATATATAAGCAAATATTATAAATATTATAAATATTGTATATTATATATATATAATTTGTTTTATAAAAACTTGAACGTTAAATACTTGATAGAATACTTGTAATAATTATAATATTTGCTTTTATATAGCGAGTTAAAACAAATTTTGTATAAAAACCGAATTTACAGCGCAAAAATAGGGATTTGTTTTACATTATTATACATATATGTTATATTATAAATTTTGTTTTATAAATCTATAAAAATTAATTCAAAGAGCAATAATAAAATAACGAAGTGCACCTGGTATAGCATCCTTCTCGTGGACTTCGGTTTTAACGCCGAAGCTGTATTGCGGTGAATTAGATATGTTTACTTTCTCGGGACTGTACGTACCAGGAGCTGCAAATAAATTATAAAATAGTTTTGTATTCTTGAAAGATATTGTTTATCACATTTACATCCCGTGTGCTAATACTAAAACACATATTTAGGGAAAGCATACATAATATTTATAGAGCATACATAATATTTATTATACATGTTTTATCACAATAATATCTCATAGGAATTAAAATATTAGAAATACATAGAATTTCACACATTGCATTTCAAAGATTCTAAAAATCCACCATCTATTTCAGTATCTATTTCATTTTTTTCTTGTCTTTTCACATACATACACCGGCATACATACATTATTAGGCTTGATATTATTATATACGATGGTTTTTCTGTAGACGATTAGTAGGATAAAGCATTTAATTTATCTATGACATGCCTACTTTAGACTCACACAGTATAGATAAACAAAAAAGCAAGACAATGGATTACATTAACATTTCTTCAACACACACCAATTACCTGGTGTATCGCTAGACCTATGCAAGGGCTTTCTGTTACCAAAACTGAAATAGGGTTTATGTTCCAAATGTTGAGCTTTTTCCGGATTGTAACTACCAGGGCCTACCGAAGCAATCAGATTAAATTAATATTGCTCATTTTAATTACGTTCTCGTTTATATTAAATCATTAAAAAAAAAAAAAAAAAAACGGTAGATTAGTTCTCCGTTAGTTTTTACACCGTTACCTGGTGTATCGCAGGGCTTATGGAGAGGTTTTCTATTACCGAAACTGAAATAGTATTTATGTTCCAGATTTAGAACTTTCTCCGGAGTGTAATCGGCAGGGCCTGCCAAAAGCAATCAGAAAATAATCATTATTCGATTATCATCTTTTCCTACTACTGTATCGTGTATAGCGTTAGTCCACTTAAAAAATGTTTACTACAGACGCAATGTTAATGCTGGGTTAATCCACACACCGTTACCTGGTGTATCTCTAGGTTTATCCAAAGGTTTCCTATTACCAAAACTGTAATAAGGTTTATGTTCCAGATTTAGAGCTTTCTCTGGTTTGTAATCAGCGGGGCCTACAGAGGCGAGGTAATCAGAAATTAATGTTATTTTATATATATATTTACTATTCGCACACATTAAATTCTCTCTTCGCGTGTTAACGATACGTCCAAGAAAAGTGTATGTCTCGGAAAAAGAGATTTATCCAGATGACTCTCACCTGGATTGTCGTTCAATTTTCCCGGTGTTCCTCTCCCGGTCAAACTGTATTGCGGTCCCTTGTCCAAGTTTACTTTCTCAGGACTATACGTGCCAGGCGCTGCGACAACACGTATCAAGAATTAGTAATTCCAAGAACATGCAATCGCCTTTCGAGGAAATATCAAAACATACCGGGAATGTCATCAGGCTTCGGTGCGATCCCTTTGCCAGTCAAACTATACTGCGGCCCTTTGTCCAAATTAATCTTCTCTGGACTATAAGTACCAGGCGCTATGTGAAAGAAATAAACATATAGCTGACATATAGTAAGCTTATGTTAAAAAAGATGTGATTTTAATTTTAAATTTCGCGATACGGGTTAAGTACGATATATATTAATTATACCTGGTGTATCGCTGGATTTATCGAGAGACGTTCTAAATCCGAAGCTGTACTTTGGCGTAGTATCCAATTTCACCTTCTCAGGTGAGTATGCGCCAGGCGCTGGAAAAAAATCTCTTTTGTTACGCTGCTTTATCTAAGAAATTACATATTTTATGTGAACTTTTATATACCTGGTGTGTCGGCAGGTTTCTCGACAGATCGTTTACCGGTCAAGCTGTACTGCGGTCCTTTATCCAAATTCACTTTTTCTGGACTATAAGTTCCAGGTGCTGCACAAAAGAAATAAATGCATACAATAACAATTCAACTTGTATTGAAGTAAAACATGTCTTAAATTACCTGGTGTATCGCTGGGCTTGTCCAGAAGGGGTCTAAGACCGAAACTGTATTGCGGCGTACTATCCAATTTTACTTTCTCGGGCGAGTATGTGCCAGGTGCTGTGAAAGTCGTGTTGTTATACTACTTGCTTCAAAAAGATACGCATTTGACGCGTGTTCTTATAGATACCTGGTGTATCTGCGAGTTTTTCAACGGGTCCCTTGCCAGTCAAACTGTATTGTGGCCCTTTATCTAAATTTATCTTTTCTGGACTATAAGTACCAGGCGCTACAGGATAAAGGCGAGATGAGAATATGCGATGAGGACTTATGAGTTTTATATTAAATGCAATGTATTATTTAATTACCTGGCGTATCGCTGGCTTTGTTTGAGGCGTGCCTAATTCCGAAACTGTATCTCGGCGTATTATCCAATCTGACTTTCTCAGGGGAATATGCGCCGGGCGCTAAAAACCGCGTTGTTGTATAATTTATATTTACAGATTACATATTTCTCTTCACATGCGTGATTTTTATATACCTGGTGTATCCGCGGGCTTCTCGGCAGGTCCTTTGCCAATTAAACTGTATTGCGGCCCCCTATCCAAATTTACCTTCTCCGGACTGTAAGTACCCGGTGCTGCAAGATAGAAATAAACGCATGCAATAATTAGTATGAAATAGTGGTACAATCGTCTTTAATATATTATGACAATAATATATTAATTACCCGGAGTATCATTAGGTTTCTCCAGAGAAGGCCTAATTCTGAAACTGTATTGCGGCGTAGTATCTAATTTAACTTTCTCGGGACTGTATGTTCCAGGCGCTGAAAATCGCCTTTTATGTAATTATTCATCATTACATTACATCACTACAATCCGTATTTTTAAATTGATTTAGCATTAAATATAACTATAATGTTTGTCTCTGAATCTTATTCTAATATTTAATTATTTCATTCTTATATTTAATACGTGACAGTTGCATTTCACTAACACGATCTGTATTGTGTATAATATATCTATGTATTAAAAAAGATATTGTATAAATTACAATTTGCATATAAATATAAATCTACATCTATGGCTTTATCATACCTGGTGTGTCGGCGGGTTTTTCGGTAGGTCCCTTGCCGCTTAAGCTGTACTGGGGTCCTCTATTCAGATTCACCTTTTCGGGACTATAACTACCGGGCGCTAAAAAAGAAAAAACAAATACAATGTTGCTCCGTATTCTGATAACAAATATACGGTACATACCCGGTGTATCACTCGGTTTCTCCACAGCGGGCTTTAGCCCAAAACTGAACTGTGGTGATGGATCCAGCCTCACCTTTTCGGGACAATATGCGCCTGGCGCTATCCAAGAGAAAAAAAAAAATCACTGTTACTTTATTATATATTTTTTTGCAAAATGAATACAACTATCTCTATATACCTGGTGTTTCGTTACATTTCTCGATTCGGCCTTTACCGGTCAAACTGTATTGCGGACCCTTCTCCAGGTACACTTTCTCCGGACTGTACGTTCCGGGTGCTACATCAAAACGAAACAGAAAGAAATAAGATAAACGAGAGTAAATGTGTTTATGACGAATGTGTATAGATGGAAAATAAAACGTATATATAAGTTCTCCTTTCTTCTATGTAATAAAGACGAGAGGGAATATATCATAGATTGTCTAATTACTTGTAACTAATATTCTTTAATCTTATAAAACGCTACTATCAAAAAAATATCTCTTATAATAACTCTATATCTATATCTATGTATCTATTGATACATATTTTTATAAAATAGAAATAAAGAAGATTTATATATTTGTGTAATATATCGAACAAGATTAAAATTGAATGATTTCAGAACACGCGCATTCGTTCGTATCCAAAGAGATTTTAATTTATACTTTTAAATCTCGACTTTCTCCTTCGTATTACCTGGCGTATCGCTCGGTTTATCGAGCGATGTTCTAAGTCCGAACGTGAACTGCGGCGTACTGTCCAGCCTCGTTTTCTCGGGATGATAAATACCTGGAGCTAGACACACTTGTCGATAAATTTTACAAGTTTCCAATTTCCGCGAGCGGCTATTTTCTACTTGCATTTACCGCCAAGTCTCTCTAGATTAATAGACATGGAGAAGGATGGATATTAACGGGAGATGTGGAGAGTGGAGATACACAAAAGGGGGACATCCAACATAACGCGAGGCATGCAGCAACAAAACTTACTTTACGGCGATAAGCGATACTACTCTGTCAATGTTTTACGTATGCAGCTAACATTTTTAATTATATTCTATCAATTTAATTGCACATTTCTAAATATCGAATACTATGAGAGAATACATTTTGTTACTTACTATATATTGTTTTATATTTACCACTATATTAATCAATTCTATATTATATTAATCACAATTATTCTTAGCTACATCATAGATATCACATGTGCATAATTAATTACTGTGGGGAGAGGGAATAGAAGACTCGGAAGTAGAAATTGTTGCTACTACGATCTTACGAGAGATTTACAGTGCGTCTTGATAAGTTCATTACACGTTCAAATCGCTAAATTACGTGAGTGAATGTTTATACGTTAAAAAAAACCACTAATCTGTACCTAAGCAGCGATTCTTCGGCGATAATAGTTTCGTATATCGATTTTTGAGGTGCTACTCCTCAAATGAAGTTCCATGTGGTTAACCGCGATTAGTTGCGGTGTGGCATCGATTATCCTAAACACTACACATACACACATAGTGTCCATATAATAATATAATGTAGCACACATGAATTTCTTTACGATTTATATCTATCTCTCTCTCTCTCTCTATCAGTCTGTTAATTATTAATAGAGAATTTTTATAATATATTATACTTTGACAATTTAAAAAGACAATTTACTAATAAAAATAATATCATTCCTTGTGTGCAATAAAAACAAGAATGTTATTTTAAATAGATGAAATTAAATAACATTTAATAATTATTACAATATTAATATACAATTTTAAATAATGCGATTTTGTATGATTTTTATTTTGTTATGATACAACATTGGTGAATTTCATTAATATACAGAGTTGTAATCATGCTAATTTAATGTTGTTTTTAGTGTTTTATTATATTTTTTTGCGAATTTACGCGTTTTTCTTAATATTTACTGAAGATTAGCATACAAAATATTCGAACCACGACTATTTAAGTTGCATAATTACCAGGAATATCACTCAGTCTTTCCGACACAGCTTTTACACCAAAAGTGAACGCTGCTGCTACTTTGCAGTAGAGATTTACGATTTCAGCGCGATAGTCGCTCGGTGCTACAATTGAGATGCAATATTTCATGTTCTGATATTTATTGTGGCGTAATACGACGTAAGTGGTGTCTCGATTGTGTGTGTATTTGTTTATATAAACTTTCTTGATTACGAAAAGTAAAATATTTTTGTTGATGATATTTATTGCAATGATTTCTATTTAAAAGATATGTGAAATTATGTATCTTAAATATATAAAACGACATAAATATTTTTTAAATAAATTAAATTGTGTAAACTCTATATTTAATAAAATAAATATGATTGTGGATGGATATGGCACATTTTTTGTGAACTTTTAGAATCGCGCGCCAAACGATTTTTAGAGTTTTTCTCAACTCTGTTGAAAAATTGTTGAAATCTCATGTTATTTAAAATTCGACTTACCAGGTGTACAGCTAATTTTCTCGAGTTGCGTCTTAACACCAAAGGAATATTTCGGCGAACTATCCAGAATTAATTTTTGCGCCTTCTGCGGATCGTAATCGCCTGGTGCCGGTGTAATTTCCTGTTTCGTCGATTTCGTTCGGCCGTGCAGCGACAAGGCGGGTGCGGCATCCTTTCCTAAAAGATTTTTAAGCTGCTATATACTACCGCGTTATTTATAAAAAATTTGCATATATTTAAAATATATTAATAATAATTAAAAGATTTTTATTATATATAACAAATATTGTAATTTTTATAAAAATATCTTTTGTACAATTTTTTATACACACGCATAAAAAAGGAGGCACTCAAGATTAAAATATTCCAGTCTTAAATTTCAAGAATTAGAAATTTTTCACACAAATATTATAATGCAAAGCTTACGTTGAAATACCAATTGAAAATTAATGTTGATGAATTGAAACATGTATCGTATCTAAATCAGGTCAATCTTTTTTTAAATTGTATACATATCGATCGCGTGTAGAGTGCTTGTTCTATTCAAGCACAGAGTGAAGGAATTTCGTGAACGTTGGCTATTAAAATGTATCATTCTTCTGGAATATTAGGTTTGGAGTTTGGTCGATATCTCGGCGGACGCATAGCGAAACTTGCAAGTTCGCGAAGCAATGGCGCATTTATAACGCACATTATAACTCATCTCGCTCAATATCTTAATATTATTATCGTATATATCGTATTTCGTTTCGTATTTTATCATAAAAATAATAGCTGTCGTTCACATATCACTTATTTTAAGTCAAAATATTCTAGTTAAACATTTTAATTAAATCTGTTAAGCGAGCACTTTATATCTAATTACTCATATTTTAAACACTTCGATTAAAATTTTATAAACGAATATTTTATTTGTGTGACGTATTTACCTTTTGCACTAAGTCCAGAAACATTGTATTGTCCAGGGCCAGGTCCAGGGCTATTATTCTTCGTCGTGTGCCTGAACATTTTTTAATGACGTTAATGATTTGTACGTAAAATTACGTTAGGTCTGCTTATAAGATTTGAACGAAAGAATCGCGAGTCATATTAAATAACAACAATCATCACTTTAGATTTGCAATATGAAACCGCGAACAGTTTTATTCTTCCGAATATAGTGCATTATAGCAATTTTTTAATAGAATTTGTAAAAAATTATATATATACATATAAAAAAATTGAAAATCCATTAAAAAATTAAATTGAAATGATCAGTTCTACCTGCTGCCAAAGGAAAATGCTGGTGCCCTTTCCCGTTTAGAATCTGGAACTGTTTTTCCTGTAAATGTAACATCAATTTTCGTATTATATAATGCCATAGACCTACATATTATCGAAGAAAATCTAATAAAAAGTATTTGCATAACTAACTTAAACGAGAGAGATATCGCAAGACGACATTATTATTACGGTGCGGAAGTCTTTTTAATTATAAAGTTCCGCGCGTGCAGCTTGTATATCATAAATGCGTAATGATCGAGATGCAATCGTGTGGATCATGGTTGTACACGATATGTTAATTAATATGTAAGTTCGCAGTCTCGCACGCGCGAGTATCGCCGTCGAACCAATTCCCATGAATTATCAGATCTCTATTAGTTACTGTGCAAAAATAGGCAATGCTCCGGCTATTCATATGTCTATAATTGCGACGCTCTATTTTCTCTCAGGAAATTAATTTTAATGAACGATTTTTAATGAACAAAATTATAATAGAGAAATATAAAGAATTATTAAAGAAGTAGTTCTTTTAACGATGATCATTATTTATTGATGTCAATTTTTGTGAGAAGTGAACGTAATTCTTACCGATTAGCGGCGGTAAAGTTACACAGGCTGGCCCTGGGCTGCTATATTCGGCGGCAATCGGACCTCGCCTTTTCGTGGGTGTCCAAGGTTTCTGTGTCACTCCAACCATGTTGCTCAAAGGATGTGTCCCCTGAAATTTAGAATATAATGACATCTGTTCTACAATATGTTATGGTGAAAGAAAGTGGTAGTTTATAAATCTTATAAAATATAATTCTATATTAATGTATTTTAATATATAATAACGTACATCTGTACAGCACATAATATATTATAAAATGCGCGCAGTGGAGGATATTTAAATTATTCAAATGTGCCAATGTTAAAACGCGCATCCCTATGGTTTTCTCAAGCCCGCGAAACTTTAGTAATCAAGTAATCGAGATCCTCTCCGGTAAACAACGAAACGCGTATTGAACGCGACGTCCATGAATTATGCAATGGAGGTCGACCTCGAAGTCTCGGGGGCACGATACAGAAACGATTCACGGCGAACCATATAAGAGCATGTCCGTGATGGGCATACGCGGCAATCGCCCACCACCCGAGAGTTCAGGACCATCTCGTAAACGATTTTCAAAAATACCCAAATGCACAGTAGCCGATGATGATGAATGATGATGATTCATGACCCACTTGCCATGCGGAGCAGCGCGTGATGCGTTGATCACCGATGCATAAAGTGCACTGTACTTTCTATTAGAATCCGGGATATGTTCCGGACAATTTACAATTTTATAGTAACTTCAAAGTTTCTAGAATTAACTTTCTCCTTTTTTTCAAAGTGTCTTTACTTTTCTTCCATACCATAATGGCTTCGATATAATTTTTCACATAATTTTAGGTTCAAAAGATTTAGATCCTGATTTAAACCCCTTTTCTCGAGAATTCTACATTTTAAAGAATCCTTTTTCTAGAAAATTCTTATATTTACTATTGTCCTAAAATTAAAAAAAAAATTTTATTAATTTCACAAAAAATAATATCAAATGCTTAGAACAAAAAAATATTATTATATTTTCAGACGCACATATAACAGCGTTATTAATATTTGATATTAGATCATATCCCGATTTTACGCGCATCAACGAAAAAGTCCGAGAAATATGACGGAATTTAATAAGCGGCACCCACGACGTGCAAAATGTTTTATAATGACTGATTCCTGATGATTACCGACTATGGCAGAGATGATCGAGTATATTACTCATTTATGCCGAATTTCTTACATCATCGTTCATTACGGGATTCTGATAAAATGAAAGAGAAGGCTAGAGCGAAAAGGAATCCGGGCGCAAAGTATGAAACAGTAAAAAAACCATGAAATATTAATTAGATAATGAAAGAAACCATGATATATAAATTTCATACTATATTTTTTATACAAGATTTATACCCCGAGGTCATTCGTTTTGATAAATCTTTAGAAGCGTGAATCTTTTTAGCAATTATATATGCTACTATCATTAATCATTAATCGAAATGTTGCCACGTGATGACGTGGAAATATTTATAGGGAGTATCAATAATGTTATGAGCGATATTATTCTCTTCTCTTCCATTCGCGCATCACATACTATATATATCGAAATGACATCACGTTGTATGGACATACCTACGGTAAAAACGCGCCTGTGTGTCGAATACGTTCGCTGTATATCCATATTGAGGTGACACACGGTATATGTATATCGATACACACGCAGCATTTCATTAGCCAAATACGGGAATGAAAGTGGAATGGTAAATCTGATACATAAGAGTACACGAGAGTACAAGCGTACTGTAACGTCGCCAAAATTGGAGGGAGAGATTGAGAAAGATTGAGAAACCCGCGACCAAAAATGCGAATCTCTTACAAAATAAGCGACTCTCTTAAATAATAATCTCGTTCTTCTTATCGTGTAATTTTTTCGACGGGAAGAAATATATTATTGACAAGCTCTCTCATTTAAATAATAAATTTTATGCCAAAATTTTATTACAAATTAACATATATAAGAGACAGCCTACAAAATTCATATAGTCAACAAACCGATGTTTTCACAGACATCGTCCTGTTGACATTAACATATATTCAGGAAATTTCAGGGATACTCTATTACGTTTTACTAGCAAGAAGTTTGTAATATTATTATTTAGAATATTATGATAAATGACAGAAAGATATGAGAAATAAGTAATAAAAATAATAAATCACACACACAGACATTATAATAAATTAAGGTTCTCCCCAAGTTGATCTAATTATAATGAATAAAATATATCGATATTGGTTCATTATTTGTAGAAAGAAATACAAAGATCTGTTTATCTGTTGAAATAATGTGCGGGAAAGATGAGCGATGCAAATTGGTGTCATTATTCTTGTTGTAATTCTAATATCGCTGTTGTCCCCAGCAAAATGGAAATTGTAATAATACATTGCTACATATTATTATTACCATTATTTGCATTGAATTATATCGCGTTACGTCGATAATGACATGTAATAAAAATGATATATTTTTACTGTACATTAAGTTTACAAGGACGAAGTCTTTAATAAAAACTCTAGCACATACATGTTTAATTTAATAGAATAATCTTCTTATCTTTATGTGCAAAACATTAATATTTGTAATTCTGTTAGGATTAAATAATGAACCATCTTCGAATTAGTATGTCGTAATAGCTAGCACAATTTCATTAAAACAACATTACATACTTATTGTTTCTCTCTCTCTCTTTCTCGGTAACGTAGTAGAATACTTTTGAGATTTCCTGAATATTGTGTTATTGTCAACATCACGGGACGATGTCCGTGAGAATGACTATGATTAATTGACTATGAACTCTATAAACTATTTTTTAAAAATATGTAAATTCATAATTAAATTTTGACATGAAATTTGTTATTAAAATAAAAGTTTATTAATAAAATATATTTCTATAAATTATGTGTCAAGGCATTAGCGACATATTAACAATTATCATTCTGATATTGGTTTAAAAATTTATTATCGGAGCGAAAAATTTCTAGAATATGTATTTCTTTATAGAAATCCACGATCTTCAAATACCTTTGCCATATCAATCAAAAATCAGTGTTTAAACATTACTTGATAATTAAAAATTTCATTGAAACAGCGAATGTTTCTGTGATGATATTACTCAAGTTTACAGAGTACACTGCTTCCTAATATTCTAGATATAAGGCGTTAATTAATAATTACAATTAATGTCACTATTATTTTTGCAAACTTATTCGAAATATACGCGTATACGATATATCTCATTTTGCGATATCTTTTTATGTCAACAATATCATCGATCATACGTTAACATTAATCCCCACAATCTTTGCAAGATACATTCATACATTATTGCGCGAACTTTCGCGTAAAGTTGTAATGTATTCATGTTACCTTCAATCATCCCAAGTGTGAGTTTACTTACTCAATATAAAAAATCCGTAAATAAGACGAGATATGTCGGCAACTGCCGAGAATAGTCGATTATCTTATCAATGAGATGATTTCGCTGATTCGCCGCCGCCGTTTGCAAACTTATTCGAAATATACGCGTACGATATATCTCATTTTGCGCTCCGATATCTTTTTATGTCAACAATATCATCGATCATACGTTAACATTAATCCCCACAATCTTTGCAAGATACATTCATACATTATTGCGCGAACTTTCGCGTAAAGTTGTAATGTATTCATGTTACCTTCAATCATCCCAAGTGTGAGTTTACTTACTCAATATAAAAAATCCGTAAATAAGACGAGATATGTCGGCAACTGCCGAGAATAGTCGATTATCTTATCAATGAGATGATTTCGCTGATTCGCCGCCGCCGATTTGGGTGAGACCGCTGACACCTACTAAACACTTGGACGTACACCTGAGACGCGTCGATTTGCGACTGAGTAAGTAAACGTCAAGGTATCGCAGCATGTTTCCCGGAATCCGCGTTCCCCACCTTTCGCGGTTCACAGTGACTGGGAGAATCTGAAACGCAAGCGCCTGAGGATAGCTTGCCTCGCGTGCAGAGATGGAGCATATGGTTCGCGTAGAATTTAATGCACGAAGGAGACGAATCTGAATTATTGTATAATAAAAATCTGTAATAAATATTAATAAAAAATGTTTGTGCATTTTTTAGATATTGTAAACCTAATTTAAATTTAATGCCAAACTTTTATCTGCATTTTTAACATCTGCAAATAATCCATGAATGAAATTAATAATAGCAACTTAATATTAATAAATAATATCATTGAAGAATAAATCAAATCTAAAATCACGAAAGCTCTTAATTCGACTTATTTTCTCAATCACTTCAACTTATCCTAATTAAATTTAAAACTTGATTAATCGATTAAAATTGAAGCTTTAACTTCTCGGACATTCCGCAAATATGTATTCTATTAATTATTTTTGTATTGTCAAGAAGTAATTACTCTTATCTTTGATACAAGGATGTATTTTTTTTTTATGCGCAAAGTCTCAACTAATTTTCTCTTTGTTACCTATGCCATTTATCATCATGGTCTAGTGTCTAGTCAGCAGATACTTGCTAGTAAAAAAAAGACCAGCCGGTCAGCAGATAGATAACAAAGAACGAGCAATTTTTATCTTATCGCATTTTATGTCTATATAACTTACGGAATTTTAACTGTGTTGTGTTCTTTATGGCATGAGTTCTTAATTTTAGTTGATCTTTTTTTCTCGATGGCCAGGACACGGTAAAATTTACAGAGTCGAAGATGGAAATCGGGAATGTCAGGGAATGCGTGGGTTGCGAAATCCGTGTATGACCGATAATGGAAGAAAGAGGACAATGCCATCACATATTTAAGTAGCCAAATCTGACGTTACGTGCTGTTATTCTGCAAAGGATAAATAAAAGCTAAATTTCGAGTTATTCTCTCTAGCATAGATCGAAATAAATACAAGAATATTTTTTGCTTAGAAAGGCATTCAAAAAGGAACTATTTTCTTCATTTTTTGCTTCCTCATAGAGGAAGGTTTGTTTTCGTGACAAAACAATGAAATGATATCTAAAATATTGAGAAAATAAAATAAAAATATAATTGTCATTTGTTATGTATATTCAATTTTTAATCACTTGTAATTGAATAATTATCATTGTTTCGACATGAACAAAATATCAACTACTAGTCAAACAATTTGTCATTAAATTTAAAATACAAAATTCTAAGAAACATTTCGTATAAATGTAATTATTCCAGAATTTCGCAATATACTAACCAAATAAGGAAAAAATAATAAATTACCTATGTGTGTTTCATCAACGGTTCACAATAATAATGAAATTTCGCCGTAATTGTGAAATTCTCATCTCCCATTACGGTTCACGGCTGCGTATTAATGACATTTTTTTTTTTTTTTTTTATTCGTGATGTGATCTATGAGAGCGAAAGATATTCTATTCCTAAGAAAACCGGTTGAACCATTATATTTGTATGTCGGCGTGAAAAGAGACACTGTTGTAAGCCACGAGAGCGTGTTGGACACTTGATCGCTCTTCTCCCTCTCCCTCCTCGTCGCCGACGTTGCGAAGCGAGCGGGTCTGGTCAGCAGAGTTGGAGCTCGACGGGTCTGGCTAGATGTTGAAGCACGAAGAATGTCCAGTTATACGCATTATTAATCGCAGGTGCGTCAGTTTATTAATCCACTGCGTATGCGATGTGTTCGCGCCGATGTGTCGTGAGGTATAAGCGTATGCGATGCAATCGCGAGTGTAGGATGTTCTCTTCTCGAGAGGATCCAGAAATCTCCTTTTTGTAAGAGGAGAATGCTAGATTGCTCTTTTTCATCTTGTTTGTGCAGCCTCCCGATGTGCGACACTTGAGTGCGCTTCTGTATTAAATATAACAAATCGAGAGAAAAAGATTTTGAAAAAAAATTAGTGAAAAATGTCGTCTGTGCAGAACAATAGATATTATACAGAGTATCCTGATCGATCGATTTTTAATAAATCCATGAATATTGTTCGAAATTATACGTTAATGATTTCGCAAGAAATATTTCACATGAGGAATAAAGAGAATTTCTATTAAAAGGTATGCCAAAAGCAATATCTCATCGATTAGTCATCGATCTTATTCTAATCACTTTTGACCTGTTGTATTCCTAAACTTTACGCATAAGAGCTGTTAAATTAAAATAAGATTTAATAAATAATTATAATTAATTATAATTAATTATATCTTCTGAATTCTTTCCCTGCGTTTTTCAAATCGATCGAATAAAGCGAGAATTATTCTGTTGACAATTCTACGCGCATGTTTCGAACTTAAATTAATTGTAAACGACAGGAAGCGCTCATCCGGACAGTACCTTTATCGCGAGGCTAAAAGCATTCCGCAGTTGGAAACCCGATCGGGTCTATTGTCGAGCGATAAGTGAAAATGTCGGTGGAGCGAGAACTCTTTTGTGCTCCTGCTACTGAAATAATGCGGATGAAACGCTTAATTGGCACTCTAATAAATCGTGCCGATGAGATCACGATCGGGGCCGTCATACGGCGACAGCTTTACACCCACGCATGAAACTAAACTATATTTTACAAGTGTAACGCACACATACACACAAATACATATGCATACAGACGACAATGCGTCATTTTTTGTTCCTATCCATCTGATGTTTTATGTACATGCTTCCATGAGAAGCTTCTCATGCACAAACGACGAGCGGAAGCTCGCCCGACGAAAAAGGCAATGATCCTTTTTTCGAGTAGACCAACGTTAGCAAATAAATAATGACAGCAACTATTTTCTTATATTTAGCTCCAAGGAATTTAATCTAATTGCACAAATATCACAAGAAAGAATTTTTTTTCAAAATACAATATTTATGCATATTTTTTTCATTTGTACTAATTAAAAAAAAGCTTGAAATATTTCATATGTACTAATTCAAAAAAAATATGCATTAATTTCAAATTAACAAAACTTTAATGTTTTTTAAAAAATGGTTAGCTGAAAAAACAATGCAGTTTATATATATTACATTTTCTGATGTATATATATAGGAATTAATAGAAATAAGTTACATTTTAGATATTCAATGTCAATATTCTAAGTTTAATTATATCATCAATCTTAGGCAAAATGGATTTGGAAGAGAATTTACTGCAGGAGCATCTGCTGAACGTCTACGATTCTTCCCCGACCAGCACCCAAGTTCTTTACAATCTTCTGCTGGACGCACTACGATCCAAGGATTTTCGTTCCTTCAAAAATACTGTGGAACATAGCTTGAAGAAACAGCCACCCGCTTTAAACATCAACTACGTCCATCCCAATCATTCGGAAGAGACGTGCCTTGACATAGCTAGTAGAAATGGCTTAACGGAGTTCGTAGAGTTTCTATTGCGCAAAGGAGCGAATCCAAATAGGGTGAATGAGGTGCACAATCGCGCTCCCATTCATTTCGCCACCGAAGGCGGACACGTGGATACGCTGGCAGCTTTGTTGGCGGAGCCAACGATAAATCCGAATCTCGAGGCAGGACAGCAGACGGCTTTGCATATCGCGGTACGGAAGAAGAATCTCGCATGTGCCGATCTGCTGTTAGAAAGAGGTGCCAGCGCCAGTATTCCCAATAACAAAGGCCTGACAGCCCTCCACTTGGCAGCGATGAAGGGACAGCGCGATATGGTAGAGCTGATACTAAATAAATGCCGACAGTGTCCGGACGTGGACAGTTACAGAGATTATAACCATCAAACGACGCGAGAAGTGCTTCAACAAAAGTTGCCGGAATTGTTATTGCCGCCCAAGTCCGAAAACCGAGAGGCGAACGCACACGATCTCAAGTATTACCTGATCGCTAATGATGAGACGAATTTTTTAAGGAGTCTGGAACTCGTCAAAATGGAGGTTCTTCACAGTGTGGCCGAGGATTTGCTGGAGATGGCCGCGCAACGTGATTTGCACGAGGTCGTGATGGGAATTCTGGAAAAACTCAAGGGAAGTCTCTTCAGCATAAAGCAAGCTGCGCACGTGGCTGTTGAACGGGGTAATCACGCTATTCTTCAGGAATTGCTGAACGTGGAGCCTGAAGTGGCAAATGATTTGATTTTAAATGTCTGCCTGGAGCTGGGAATGCCAGGAAAACGAGGAGTCGACAATACGTCCGATCGATTGCAGTGTATGAGGTTAATCCTGGAACAGGAAAACGTGGATGTTCGATGTACTGACAGTGAGTATATCACGACGATACCATGAATAGCACTTTCTAGATAATATACATAATTAAAGAATATTTAAGCAATATTTCAATGTAAATTCTTATTATAAAGTTCTTTTACTTACAGATAAAGGCAACACGCCACTGCATTACGCAGCCAGGGCGGGTTGTCGCGAAGCAATAACTTTGCTCCTCGAGCGAGGCAGTTACATCGGCCACATGAACAACTTCAATGTACCGCCCATCGCCGACATCCCGGTGTGCACGCTGTCGCATTACTTTGATGATTGTCTACAGACGCGAAAGGAGCGGACAAACGAATACACCATCGAATTCAATTATCGCTGTCTGATGCCGCACGACGTTCTCGCGGAACACGACAAAAGTCGTCGGACAACTTACGAGATGGAAGTGTTCAAATACATCGCTTGCAACGGCGCTCTCAAACACTTGCTGAAGCACCCGTTGCTCTCGTCCTTCCTTTTCCTTAAATGGCATAGGATACGGCACATTTTGTATGCGAATTTTGTCTTCTACGTGATCTTCTACTTTTTGCTAAACGCTTACATTCTGGGCATGACTTATGACAGTTCCGCGAATAAAAACGGAACACAGACGGTCAACAGCTCGAACGATGCTGCTCTGGAAAGTACCTTGCAAGTCGCCTGGTATCAGAACAATCTCCTGTGGGTTTTCACCACCGTGCTATTGCTGCTCTTTATCTCCCGGGAGATCCTCCAGTTCATCTCCTGTCCTTGGCGTTATCTGGGAAATTTGGGCAATTGGTTGGAAGCTGCGTTGATCGTGCTGACTTTCGCCGTGCTGTGCGGCGCGGGACCCCAGGTCAGCGCCATAGTGATCCTCCTGTCCGCGTGGGAATTGGTGATCCTGATCAGTCAGCATCCGCGCATGACCACCGGTATCGAGATGTTCCGAACAGTCTCTTTCAATTTCGCTCGCTTCCTCTTCCCATACGCGTTCCTCATCCTCGCGTTCGCTCTGGCCTTTTACACGCTCTTCAAAGACGGCGACGACACGAGCTTTCCCGATCCCGGTCGCTCGCTTTTCAAAACTGTTATCATGCTCACTGGGGAGTTTGATGCCAATGACATCCCGTTTGTCTCGCATCCCGTTTGGAGTCATATCGTATTCGTATTGTTCGTCTTCCTCATCGCCATCGTACTGTTCAATCTGCTCAATGGTCTGGCGGTCAGCGACACTGCCGAGATCCTTTGCAAGGCCGAATTGGTTGGACTCATCTCCCGAATACGTCTGATTTCCTATATCGAGGATGTGGCGGTCGGCAAATCATGCAGGCATTGTTTCTGCTGCGGAAATTCATGCCGTCTGCGATGGAATCCGTTCGGCTTCCTTGCAAGGAGGATTCTTTTGTTTCCACAATATCTAAGAGACGGCAGAATCAGCATCAAGCCGCACGATTGTCTAGACGTATACAACAACGACAGGCATTATGAGAAATACATTCGCAGCGAGTCCGTGAATCGCGACAAACGTTGGGCTACATTGAAGATGGATCCTAATATAATCAAACAAGCTAAACAAATTATCTCCAAGAAAAATCAATTGTCTGACAACGAGATGATAATGATAGCGTTGAATAAACTGCAGGAGAAACTGGCGGGGATGGAGCTCGCTTTGAATACCGTGAAGCTTGCAGTTGAGAATAATAATGTCGATAATACGGTGGATTCTGTGAGGGAGAGTTAATAAGCGGATGTATAGAAACCTATCTTTCTTTAAGTATTTTGTATCCTGTAAAAAAAAAAGAAAGAAGATTTAATTTATAAAATGACTTACTCGCTCTGAGTTCATTTTATTTTATATACTAACATTAAACACAATACACTGTTAAGTATATGTTAAATTTTATTATTATATTTTAACAGAGACGTTGACTTACCCTAAGCTGCGTGCCAATGTGCCATTAATATAATCGTAATCGAGGTATAGCGCTTATACGCTAAATATTATACAATGCGGAAATATATAAATATATCGTTGCACGTTTTATAACAAACGTTCTATCAATCAATTAGAATTATTCTATTACAATTTGTATTCTTGTAAGCAACTTTTTAGCAATATTTATAATATTATCAATTTCATCATTTTTATATAACTCTTTTAACGTTTTTAATATAATTCTAATGACAAAAAGATACATTGTCGCACGTGTATATGCGCGCGCATGTGCGCATGTATGTGTGTAAATAAGTGCGTTAGAAAATAAATAAATCTTTTTTCAAAATTTATAATTAAATTATTGTCGTAGATCTCTGCATATTTGTGAATAAATCAGCATGGACGAGATAATATATTACTAACCAGATACATCTTGCTGTACGACAGTTTTCTCTCTTCCTCGACGTACCAGAATGTCGGTGTAAAACATGTTGAAGTCAAGCCTAATATAAACGTTGTTATTAAAACGCGAAGAGATGTATAAAAATTATATATATGTTTAGCAAAAACTTATGCAATAAATATACGAAATGTTTTGCATAAAAACAGTTATATATGAACCTAACATCCGAATGTAAATTTGTCACACAAAGATAATGAAATGATGGCTAATAAGAGCAAGCTGATGACAAATAACACAGTGCCTACACACAAGACTGTCAATTTTTTTCTAATCTAAGAATCTCAATATTAGATTTTCCTATATTCCAAATCCAATGTTCTTCTCAAAATTAGAATTCTTCTCTTGCACATAAATTGTATTTAAATCGTCTTTAAATTGTATTAATTACTTTCAAATTTTTTTTAAAACAGAATTTTTTCATTTCACGTGTCATGAAACTGGCAGAAATTCTTATTAATCTATTCTTATTAATCTATTATCAGTCGAATCAATTGAAAATCTTTACTATTCATATTTTAAGAAACATCTTATAAAAATGATTTTAGTTTTTATAGTATGTGCAATGAATTTGTATCTAAGAAATTTGTATCTTTGATGGAAGTGATTTTTCTGATTCATATTCTAAAAGAATGACATTTATATTTAAAACTTATAATAGAAGACTTACCGACATAACACATTAAGTAGTTTCTCATTGTTGTTTTCGCAACCCAAATCGCAGATTCGGTCTAGAAGGCATGTCAATACTTTAGTGAATCTTTCATCTAGCGATGCAATTGTTTCCTCAAAGCTTCCTGTTCCATCTTTCGCTGTAGAAACATTCTCGATCTAGTATAAAAAATGCAGTTCGTTAGTACATTATAAATCTGAACATGTACATATTGCATAAACAGAATTAAGAAGCAATTTCTGAGATGTAACAAAAATGACATGTATTTTTATTTAATTAACAGTAGTATAATACGTAATAATGATGCTGATGAAGACTATTATTAACTAGCAGTGCTTCTTACAAAAGATTATAAAAATATAATTATTTTCTTACCAATTTTTCCTTATAAAAAAAATAGATATGAAATATAATATAAATTATTGACAAACTTAAACTATTTATAGGATGCACTAGTGTGCATCCAACCGAATTCGTTATTACCAAATTTGAAAAATAAATATGAAAATTATAGGTACAAATGCATAAGTAGAGAATTTGAGATTTCTACAAAATTTTTTAACATATATATAAATATTCCTTCTTTTCCCTCTTCACCTTCAAATACTCTACTATAAAAAGAAATAAAGGATATAAAGAAATTATTATTTCATAAATTGAGAAATAATAGAATTATGATATATATATATAATCCTAATGGAAAGGATATTTTACAATGAAAAATATATTGTAATCTCTTTTTATATATCAATCCTCTTTAAAAGCCTGAAACACTTCTTAACAGTCTTTAAGATACCAATCCAGTTTTTATCAAGTCAAAATAGCAAATATATACATTACGAGAAAAATATATAATGTGTAGTATTTTATACATATAATACACTGCTCTACACATTCTAAATTTCTCTACTTACTTCATCTTCTTCAAATATCTTTCTAGGATGCATATATAATTTATTAACAAACTTTTTTATAATTTATTCTTTCTTGACTAGTGAGAATTTAAAAAAATGACAACATTACATAATATTTAATGTACAGTCTTATACAGAGATGCATGATGCAAATGTTTAATTTCTTGTATATGTATCGACAACATTTTTCATGCAAAATAATACAATGTAGAAAGAGTGCTCACTAAACATTATTCCTCAAAGCATCTCTATATATATTTCAAAAATATCCATATTTATAGAATATTAATCATATTTCATGCAAATTGGGGATAATAAAAATGTACAACAGTCGCATGTTCTTAACGATATAATAATGACTTTTAAAAGATGCCTTATTTGCAAAGAAATACTTCATGAATCTAGAGCTACAGAGATGCATGAAAACGAGCTTAAAGCTTTGAAAGTATACCTCATATTCATAGACATCTTCCTGACAGGTACCAATCATGGATGTCAATTCAGCATCAATGTAGTAGCGGCTCATACGCTTAACATTAGCAAAATATAATTTAATAGATCAAAGTCTCTTTTACACATCATTATTTTCTTTCCCATTGCGTTTTTATCATCATTTTAACTCACTGAATGTTAATAACTTGACTTTTAAGGATAATTTTGTAAACAAGTATCATGATTCAAAGATTTGCTCAATTTCTAATTGAAAAAAATATGTATAAATTGCTAATATTTATTCTGACACGAGGGAAAGAACATGAGACCTACTCTGATACTTATTAGTGTGTATATGGAAATATATATTATGTAATAAAAAATAAAGCGCTGTAACGGATTCAAATACAATTAAAATAATGTTTGCAACTTAGAAAAAGAGATCATTGGATGTAAATTCGTACATGCAGCGGATTGTTAGAGAGAAACGCGCAAGCTCGCGACATCAGGCTTACCTGCATAAAATTGCAGAATTCTACGCAGATTGCGCAGATACCGGTGATGCAACCGAGAAGATCGGGATCCGTTAACATACACTCCTTCATATAACTGTCTTGCAAATCCTGATGTACGCTCAATACGTCATCGACATTACTGACCTGATTTTAATTATTTAACAAATTATGTAAAGATATTCAAAAACGCCAATACATATATATATATATATTTCTTAGATAACAATAAAATTGAAATCCCTACCTTGTTCATCTTATTTATAAATTTCAACCAATTTGGTTCCACAACTTCCACCATCATGTAATATTCCAAATGCTGTATACAATCGAGCATTCTTTGCCGTAATGAAAATGCCTGCCTGTAAGCTATGGCCACCTCGTGCGTAAAAGTCTTTGCTATTTTATTGCTAATCCATACCCTATGAGATAATAAATTTTCAAATTTTAATACATAACATAAAGTCCACATATTATAATTAAAACGGGATAGTTACCTGCACAATAGCCTTTCAACATATTTACAATAAAATAGATGCCTAAACAACATTTGATAACAAGCTATGGCTTTCCTATTAATAATCAGAGAAACTGGCCATTTAACGTCGTAATTGAAAACAAAAGCTTCCAAACCAGTCAAAATTTTACCTGCTTGAAAACAATATTCTGCAAGAGAGATTAATTCACTTGTCATTCATTTTCAATCTATGTTTTATATTTTATATAATCAGATACAATTAAATAAACAAAATTTTTTAATAAACTACCTTTCTCGTCTCTGGTTTGGATGGAGAGTATTCTAAACATTTGATACTGTAGATCATATGGTAGTAATTCTGGTTTCAGATCATCTTTATAAGGATCTGAATCTGCAGTTGACATTCGCAAAGCAACCTCGAGAAGAGATGCTAAACGATGCAGAACAATATCGTACATACTCTTATTCAATTCGGTTTCACACAGATTCATAAATTGAACCTATAATATAAAATTAAGGAAATTTTCGTGTATATATAAGAACTAATAAAAGCTATTCATATAAAAAAGAGCTTCCAATTCATATTTGGTAACTGAAAGTTAAACTCACCATAAAATCTCCTTGAGCAAGAAGAAAGTAACTTTTCACACTACGTAGCCTACCCATCAGATCATTTTCTTTCATGAGTACCTCTAATAATTTCCTGGCGGCTTCTGAATATGCCCTATCGATGGCAGCTATATATTTCTGCCCTTGATATTGATAGCTTAAGGGTTCTTGTTTTCCCCATTGCACTGTTTTACCTGTAAATACATGTTTTTTGTTTGTAAAATAATTACTTAAAAATAATTAATCCCCATTACATACAGTTTATTTTACTTTACATATATAATAAATATAT